GGTGGGGGGGGGGGGGCGTGTTTTGATCATTTTAAACTTGACCCATATATAGACACACTTGAGTTTCAAACTTGTCTCTCTTTGACTTCCTATGGAAGAGCAGATGCTGCTATCCTTAGCTGTACTGAATATGAGTGGATTCAGAGCATAGTAAGAGAGGATTTTATATTTCAAGTTCCCTCGCAATGTTTTTTTACTACAACTCTGACACACTGTAAAGGGCAAGCACACATTAGAAAAAGATCTTGGCATTGTATGAGGTATTCACTTTCTTTTTTCACTTTTAAGATATTTTTAACTGTCATTTTCTACTGTAGACAATCCGTATGATACCACCATTTATTCAAAAAAGGACTGCTGGCAGTTTAAGTTTTGTTTCATTCCATGGTGCTCTCAAGAAATGGCTCCATCGGAAAATAATACGTGAAGGGACTTCTTTTCCCCCCCGCCTCAACTTGCTGGACTTGAAGGTACTAAGATACCGGGTTTCCAGTACCTGTTTGAAGAAGTTCACTAGTTCTTTCAAACATTCTTCTTACACAGTAAAAAGGATGCTATGCTGGTAGAATCACTTGATCTATTCTGCAGTGAACAACTGGAAGCCATGTTTTTACCCTTTTTTATGCCTTAATCTCTGTAAGATCTGCTGAAAGTAACAGCATAGATATTTCCTCTCAGTCGCTTCTGTCCTGCCACTTGGGCACAGGTATACTCCCAGGTTCATCGGCACACTTCGTCTAAGGAGGATCAAATACCTTTAGTTTTCTTTTTCATTTTTTTTAAGTCATGAGGGAGAAAAAAAAGGAAGGAAACCTTTAACAAAAGTGCCTGAAGCTCTAAGCCACTTTCTGGAGAACAGTAAAATAATTTGTGTTGGTGAAATCCAAACTGAAATTTTGCAGTTACTTGAAACACTTTAGAAGTAAATTGTTCTTTTAAGGTCAGTACTTGGGGCATTTTATGAGGAGCAGACCATGGAGTTGATACTATACAACCGAATGCTACTCGCTTCATGTAGCTCTTCATTCATCAGAAAATGACCGCCACCTCAGACTTACAGCAAGTAATTGCAATGTTATTTATACATTCCTCGAGGTTTTGTCAAACACATGAATTATATTAATCCATTTTTAGCCTTTTAATGTACTACAATCCTCTGACATTACAAATAGAAATCAAGGACCTGATTCTCCAACGATATTTTTATCTTTCATGGGTATTTGGTATCTCAGAAAGGATAAGGGTCTAATGCCATAGAGATGCACTATTCTGTGGCAGTAAAACTATAATTTCTTTAAACATAGGCCATGCTTGTATGTTTGGGGTGAAACAAAATTTGGATTCAAAGAGTCATTCCATTGGATCTAATGGCCTTGTCTCAAGCCCCACATTTTGAATTGTTCAGGGCTATCTGAACCTCCCTGGGCCACTGAGTCTGATTCTCTGTTGTCATAAAGAACGGCATCATATTATCCCTTATTCTTTCTTGAACATGCATGTACAGTATTCTCCACAGATTTCCAAATGAGTGTTCACCAATGCCATGTGTAACAACATAAATATTTTTTATATCCACTGAAGATATTTCACCTGATTTACTTCTGGGTACTGCATTTGGCTGTTTTAGGATTGCATTGCACTGATGGCTGCCTGAGAGTCTGCCTGTGACTGACTAAATTATACTCAAGCCTTCCTTCTCCAACTGATGAGCTTCCATCTTATAGCAGAAATTCCTGTTTTAGTTTCTAAGTTTATGACCCTGTGTGCTTTGTACTCTTACACTTAATCCATTTTTTTACTCCAATCCTGAAGACAATCCAGTTTTTCCTGCATGATAAGTCATTCTCCATTCTATTGGAAATGCCTCCCAAACTTGGTCCTCTGCACTTCATTAATATACTCTGACTTCTTATGCCATGACCATTAAATTAAGATATAAAATAAGATATAAGGCCAAATATTGAGGGACTCTGTAGTAACTTCTCTCTGTCCTAGCAATTTGCTTTTGAGCAAAAGCTGTTGCTACCCCCTATCTTGCCAGTTCCTTCCCCAGTTTATAGTGCTAATCCCCTTCTCCAGTTGAACTAATAATTTTCCATGTGATACTATGTCAGTTTTATTACTGGAGTCGAGATAGTGTTAAAAGAATCTGATCCAATTCACTGAAGTCAGTGGGGAAAGTAGAGAAGTTGAAGGTGAGAACAGGTGAGAAATATCATTGCTGTGCAGGGAAAAGTGTAGAAAAATTAGAACAAATCTGTCTATTTTTTGACCTCTGTGTAATTACTGTGTGTCAAGA